GGGGCCACAACCCAACCGCCCGGCCGCCGATCAAAGGGCGACGGCGACCGGAGCGTCGGAGCAAAAAGAACTCCCGGAGCGATGCTCCTGCGAAGGGAGAGGGGCTCAGCGGGGGTAAGAAGAGCTGCGTTTGTTTGGAGACCCCACTCGTGCTCCTGACCCAGCTGGCGCTGAACCCCTACTCCAGGGCGGGGGGGGGCGACTCCGTTCTAACCCAAAAAAGCGGCTGCGAGGCGGCATCGGGGCAGCTCTTCCAGCACAAAACCCGCTTTGAGCGTCACTAATACAATACCGTGGCCCCGGGCGCAGCGTGCTCGACGGGACGCAGTGCTCCGGGCAGACGGAGCTCCGCGGTCGCGCCGGGGTGTGTGTGCCACCATGTGACGGGGCAGAAACCCGCTTGGCTTTGCTGTCTACGGGACAAAGCAGGCACCTTCCCCCTCCTCCGGCACGGGGAAGCACAGGGACACTCACCGCACGGGCTCTGTGTTTTATCGCATCGGCCCAAGACGGAGAAGAAGCAGCGGGCAGGGAGGAAAACCGAACTGCACGCCGGGGGGGGAAATGCATCGCTCAGCATACCGAGCGGGGAGCGGGGATGTAAAGCACAGACGGGACGATGGCGGGGCTGTTTCTCAGACCAAACCTTTCCCCCCCATCCCCTGTGAACCAGCTGGGTTACAGCAACACAGCCTTCCCAAATTCGCCAGCCCGGCGGGTGACAGCAGGGGTTGGGCAGGAGGATGCACAGCCAGCAACCAACCCGTCATTTGTGGGACGCTTTGGCAGGGAGGGGACTTCAGTGCCCAAAAAAACTCAAACCCAAATGCAAAAAAAAACCCCCACCCCACAAGACAGGAAAGCACTCGCCAGTGCTCCCGCGGCTCAGACACCTCCTGCCCCTCAAAAGCCACCTCCCGGCAGGAGGGTGACTCAGCCCGTCCTGCGACGCCGGCGGCTCCCAACGCGTTTGCCTTAGCAAAAGAAGAGAAGAGGAAAAAGGGACACACAAGATCCAGGGGGGTGCCACGACGGCCGGCGGCTCCGACCGCTGCCAGCCTGGCCGAGGAGGAGGAGGAGGAGGAGGAACACGGTGAGTTGGGAGCAGAGTCGGCTCTGGCAGCAGCGGCGCCGGATGCGCCGGAGTCTCCAGGCTGAGCCAGTGGCAGCAGGGAGAGCAAGGAGCAGAACCTACCTAGGGTCGGGTCGTAGTCGCCGATGAATCTCCTGGTGATGAACCTTACGGTCAATGCTGTAAAAAAAAACAACAGGAGAAACCCGGTTACGGTTGTGAGATCAAACTGCAGCGAAGCATCGGCTGCCTGAGGCAGGAGGGACGGAGCGCGGAGCTGCCGCAGCCGCACGGGAAAGCGCCCGTGTGGGCACCAGGAGAAGACATCCCAGCGGCGACGCTGCCAGGGCAGCCCCGTGAGGACCAGGCTACGGCAGGGCTGGGAAGAGTGTCTCCAAAGGCGCCCAAAGAGTCCATGTCCCTGCCGCACGCTGCCCGGGGCCGCCCTGTGCTGACCAGAGCAGACCACGATAAAGCAGCAAATCGCCAGATCTGGGCGGCAGCAGGTGGGGGCGACGCCGCCTGGGAAAGGATGAGGGATCCCCAGGCGGATGCCTCGCACCAAGGTTGTTACAAACCCTCTTTTCTGCCCCGAAAGTCCCATGCAGGCTGTCCTCTGCCTTGCTTCCCCCCGTGGACAACGCGGGAAAAGGCGTACAACCAGGCTGGCGGCTCACACCTCCTCTCTCCCACACAGCCTGAGGCGCTGCCAGAGCTCCCGGACACCGGGCATCGCAAAATAACCTCGCTGCAGCCCCAGGGAAAGCCTGGGTGGTTTTCGCCGAGGACCAAACTCCACTGTGCGATGGGACACCCATTCGCCCGCGTTTCGGCAGGCGAAGCCTGTTCCAGGGTTTACTATCCTCAGAGTAAAGAACTTCTTCCTAATATCTAATCTGAATTTATCCTCTTTCGCTTTAAATTCATTACCCCTCAACCGGTCACTACACTCCCTGATAAAGAGTCCCTCCCCATCTTTCCTGTAGGCCCCCTTTAGGTACTGGAAGGCTGCTATAAGGTCTCCCCGGAGCCGCCTTTTCTCCAGGCTGAACAACCCCAACCCTTTCAGCCTGTCATCAGAGCAGAGGTGCTCCAGCCTTCTGATCACCTTCATGACCTTCCTCTGGACCCTCTCCAACAGGTCCATGTCCTTCTTATGTTGGGCACTCCAGAGCTGGATGCAGTACTCCAGGTGGGGTCTCACCAGAGCAGAATAGGGGGGGAGAATCACCTCCCTGGACCTGCTGGCCATGCTGCTTTGGGTGCAGCCCAGGATGTGGTTGGCTTTCTGGGCTGCAGTCGCACATTGCAGGCTCACATTGAGCTTCTCATCCACTAACACTCCCAAGTCCTTCTCCTCAGGGCTGCTCTCAATCTGTTCTCTGCCCATCCCTGCTTGGGATTGCCCCAACCCAGGTGTAGGGCCTTGCACTTGGCCTTGTTGAACTTTGTGGTTTGCATAGGCCCACCTTTCAAACCTGTCCAGGCCCCTCTGGATGGAATCCCTTCCCTCCAGCGTGTCAACTGCTCCACACAGTTTAGTGGTGTTGGCAAACTCGCTGAGAGTGCACTCAATCCCACTGTCCATGTCACCAACAAAGATGTTAAACAGCACCAGTCCCAGTACTGACCCCTGAGGAACACCACTCGTGTTTGCTTTATGTTACAGGGTTTGCTTCATGCTTTTGTCATGATAACTGTTGGCACACTTCAGCAGCTATTTCAAGAAAGAGGTGGAATACTCACCTTGAAGAGATTTATAGCATGATGTGGTCAGGGGTGCTAAGGCCCAATTTGTGTTACACTGCCAGAATGTCACTTCCTTTCTGATATTTGGATACACAGCATTGTATTCCTGACTGCCTGGGCTCATGATCTGTGGAGAAATCTGTGTTTTATGTAATGAACTTGTCCACAAGTAAAAATTCTTCTCCTTATTCTTCTTATTATATACAGTACCCACCAAACTATTGCTTTGGTATGTTACATCATAATTTGGCACAGAACTAGACTGCCAAATTTGGGGTGGGCGAGCTCCCCGGGTGCTGCAAAAAAAAAATAATAATAACAACCAACAAGAGAGATTCCTGGTGTTTTTTCCGGAAGGGGCAGCAAAAGCTTTGCCGTTGCGTGAGGTCTCCGGAGGGGTATTTCCAGGAGTGGGGACAGCAGACGGGGCTGAGGCTCAGATGGCGAATGGCCACGAACCAGAAACGGGGGGTGAAAAAGCAGCAGCTTTCCCAGGAATGAAGTGATTTGGAGGTGCCAGACCCCGTGCCGGTTGGAATGGGGTGGGGAGGCTGCCAGAGCTCACCCCTCGCTCCTGCCAACGGAGCACCCAGCTTTGCTAAAACGTCCCCGATGGGGCCAAAGGGCCACAAAACGGCGTCTGTCCCTGCCCCGTCTGTGCTGGGTGTTATCAGGGTCTCCGGCCCCAGAGCCTCCCCCGGCTCCGCAGCCTCCC